CCTCACATTTAAATCTGAATGCTTGGTCAAATCTATCTTTTTTTACCTTGTTTCCCAATTTCCCATAAATCAGAGTAGCTTCTGACTCCATGATTCTTCTCACATTCAGGACTCTTCACGCCTCTTGTATGCTTTTCTTCTTCTCTTGACCATTATTCATACTCTCCTAATTATTCTGCTCAGGGTCACCTACAGTAAACAGATGCCTGCCTCTCAGACTCCCACATCTTGGTGCACCTCCCTCATCTGCCTCTAGATTGCTCCTGATTCTGAAAGAAGTTTCTGAACCAAGGGTGCAGCATTTTGTTTTGCTTTTAATGTTTACATTTCATTGTAAAATTTAGACTTACAGAAAACCTACAAAAATAGTAGAAAAAATTCTTGTATAATTCTCTTCCAGATTTTCCAAATTAATATTACCACATTTGCTTTATCATTCCTCTCACTCTGCTTCGCTCTCTCTTTCTGTATTCTTTGTATTTGTCTTAGTTTTGTTCTTTAAAGCCACTGCACACACTGAATTAGCAAATACTGAGTCATTGTTCCTAAGGGAAATACAGGGTTAGGTTCCCAAGAGTGTCTGGTCACATTTTCCACAACTGGATTCCACAAATACAAAACTTTGTTTCATGTGTATTTCTGTTTAAAGATACCTTATTTAAAATATATTGTCGATTAACAGTGAACTCATGGCTGACAGCACCATAACTCATGCCTGAACAGAGACTTTCTAACACATTATTCTCTCCATAAGGCACAGCCTTCCTCCTCTTGGGAACACTAGACAGCACTTCAGCACTACGTCTGGGGGACATTTTCAACAGCAAAATCACCAATACAAAGCATAAGCATGTGAAAAATATTACTCTAAATAGACCGTGAAAAGGACATTTGTTTACAATATGAGAGGCGAAACCAGAAGGCAGGGGATAGCTTGTTCGACGTCAGCTGGATTTGTGCTTATTTGGCACCTCATATTTTCACTACTCTGTGCATGTGCACGAATGACTCCAGAAGTGTCACATGTATTGATTTTGTGATTACAAATCAATTTTAGTGAGGCATTGAATTTGGAAATATGGAACCCATGAATAATAAGGATTCGCTACATGTATGTATATATGTACATAGGTATATGTGTTTAAGTGTACACTCATACACATGCATAGATATGTAGCTATATGCACACAAATGTATTTCTGAATCATTTGAGAGTAAGTTGCAAACATGGTACTTCTTTAGTTCTAAATAATTTAATATGTGTTTACCAAAAATACGGATATTGTTTTCCATAACCACATTACAATGATCACAATCAAGAAATTAACCTTAATAAAATGCCATTATCACAGCTAAAGACTTTATTTACCAAATATTTTTGGTAATGATTTTAGTTTACCAAATATTTCATTAATGGCTGTTATATTTCAGAATGTAATCAAGAATCATGTTTCATTTTGTTGTCATATCCCTTCAGTCTCCTTTAATTTATAAAAATTCCTTAGCCTTTATTTGTCTTTCATTAGTACTGCTTTTTTGGTTGTGTCCACGATGAAGATGTATTAGTAAGGAGAAAATTATAAAAAATATAAATGGGCTGGGCATGGTGGCTCACACCTGTAATCCCAGCACTTTGGGAGGCTGAGGCAGGTGGATCACAAGGTCAGGAGATCGAGACCATCCTGTCTGACACGTTGAAACCCCATCTCTACTAAAAATAAAAAAAGAATTAGCCGGGCATGGTGGCACGCACCTGTAATACCAGCTACTCAGGAGGCTGAGGCGAGAGAATTGCTTGCACCTGGGAGGCGGAGGTTGCAGTGAGCCGAGATTGCATCACTGCCCTCCAGCCTGGATGACAGAGCTAGACTCTCTCTCTCTCTGTGTGTGTGTGTGTGTATGTGTGTGTGTGTGTATATGTATGTGTGTGTGTGTGTGTATATATATATATATATATGGGGGTGAGGGACTATGTTAGTTTTTTATGATGAAGTAAATATAGACGAAGAGGAAATACAACAATGGGAAGCAAGAACTGACATTTTGCAGCCTACTATGTCAGTTTCATTTATTCTTTCTGAATTAATTTCAGGTAATTTTACCTTTATGCACATGAAGACACTGAGAGTCAGACAAGTTAAGCATTTGTGGAAAGTCAAAAAGCTAGCAGTGTTGAGATTAGAATTCAAACCAGGTTACTAAGGTGCTAAAAGCAATGCTTTTTTAATTATTAAAAATACATTTTATTGTGTCTATTTAAGGTATACAACATGATGTTATATGATACATTAGATAGTAAGAAGATTACTAAAATGAAAGAAATTAACATGTCCAAAATTTCACTCAATTACTCATATTTTTTGTGGGTGGCAAAAGCAGCTAAAATCTACTCATGTATCGTGAATCCTGTATACAGTACAGTTTTATGACTTATAGTAATGTTGTACATTAGATCTTTAGACTTGTTCATTGTACAGGTCTGCTAGTTTGAATCCTCTGACCTATATCTCCCCATTTCCACCCCACATCTTCCCTGCCCCTAGTAACCACTGTTTTGTTCTTTGTCTGTGTATATTTAAAATTTTTTAAAAAAGATTCCACATATGAGTTCATGCAATATTTTTCTTTCTGCGTCTGGCTTATTTCATTTAGTAAATTCCCCCAGGCTCATCCATGTTGTGGCAAACGGCACAACCACATTGTGTTTTAGGAATGAATAATATTCCTTATTCATGTGTCGCTTGATGAACACATAGGTTGTTTCCACATCTTGGCTAGAATAATGTTGCAATGAATGTGGGAGTGGTAGTTCTAATTTCCATTTCTTTAGAAACCTCTGTAATCTTTCCCATAATGGCTGTATCAATCTACATTTTCGCCAACAGCACGCAAGGTATCCCTTTCTTCATACCCTCACCAGCATTTGTCTTTTCCAGTTTTCATTTTTTATAGTAGCCATCCTAATGATGTGAGGTAGTTCTCCTGATGGTTTTGATTTGCACTTTCCTGATGGCTAATGATGTAGAACACTTTTTCATATACCTGTTGGCCATTTTTATGTTTTCTCTGGAGAAAGATCTATTCAGGTTATTTGCCCATTTATTAATAGGATTATTTGTTTTTCTAGTATTAAGCTGTCTGAGTTCTTTATAAATTTTGAATACTAGCCCCTTATTTGATATATGGTTTGCAAAGTTTTTTTTGATCTGTAGGATGTTGTTTCATTTTGTTGATTGTGTGCAGAAGCTTTTTTGTTTGACGTAATCCCATTTATTTATTTTTGTTTTGGGGGCCTGAGCTTTTGATGTGATATCCAAAATAATTATTGCCAAGGCCAATGTTCAGGAACTTTTCCCCCATGTTTTTTTCTAAGAGTTTTATCATTTCTGGTTTTACATTTAGGTATTTTACCGATTTTGAGCTGAATTTTGGGTATGGCATAAGATATAAGTCAAATTTCATTCTTTTGCACATAGAAATCCAGTTTCCCCAGCATCATTTATTAAAGTGATTACTCTTTCCCCAGTTGTCTTCTTGGTGCCTGTGTTAAAAATTAGTTGATTATATGTGGTTGATTTATTTCTACGCTCTCTATTCTCTTGTGCCTTTGTGTCTGTTTTTTACACCAGTACCATACTGTTTTGATTACTATTACCTTGTAAAAGAGTTTTAAATCAGAAAGTATAAGACTGCCAACTTCTGTTTCGCAGAATTATTTTGGCTATCCAGGGTCTTTTGTGGTTCCATATAAATTTTAGGATTATTTTTTCTATTTCTGTAAAGAATATCATTGGGTTTTGATAGGGATTGCATTAAATTTGTATATTGATTTGAGTAGTATGGACATTTTAACAACATTAGTTCTCCTAATCTATTAGCATGGAATATCTTTCCATTTATTTGTGTCCTCTGTAATTTCTTCTATCAATGTTTTATTGTTTTCAGCGTGCAGGTCTTTTACCTCCTTGGTTTAATTTATTACTAAGTATTCTGATTTTTTGATGCTATCATAAATTGTCTGGTTTTTTGATTTTTTTTTTTTTCAGTTAGGCTGTTATTTATGCATAACAAATGCTACTGGGCTGGGTGTGGTGGTTAATGCCTGTAATCCCAGCACTTTGGGAGACCGAGGCGAGGCCAGGAGTTCAAGACCAGCCTGGCAAACATGACAATACACTGTCTCTACTAAAAATACAAAAAATTATCTGGGCATGGTAGCGGGTGCCTGTGATCCCAGCTACTTGGGAGGCTGAGGCAGGATATTGTTTCAGCCTGGGAGGTGAATGTTGCAGTAACCCGAGATCGTGCCACTGCACTCCAGCCTGGGTGACAGAGCCAGGCTCCATCTCAAAAAAAAAAAAAAAAAAAAAGGCTACTGGATTTTGTATGCTGATTTTGCTTCCTGCAACTTTACTGAATTTTTTATTAGTTTTAATAACTTTTTTTGTGGAACCTTTTTTTTTTAACATAGAGAATCATGTTATCTGCAAGTAGATATAATTTTACTTCTTTAAGTAAACATCCTAGTATTACTAAGATGGCATCCAGTGAAACATCAAGTAATCTCATAAACTACCTAACTGCTATGCTGTCTTTACTTTCTTCACTGCCTAGCTTCAAATACAAAAACATAGAAACAATACAAGAAAAACAGAATATGCTTTTATCAAAACAAAAACATAAAAACAATACAAGAAAAACAGAATATGTTTTAGCAAAACAAATCCAAAGAGAACCATGAAAACTTTTCATCAGGAGGAGGGCTAGAGGTAATTTCATTATTATTTTACCATTAGCATTTCCCATGGGTATGCATTTACTTTTATTGTTAATCTTGACTTTTAAGATTTGTAAAAAGCACTATTTACAAAGCTGTTAGCAGGATCTCCCTTAAGGTAGGAGATAAATGGACTTGATTAGTCTGTGTTCTCAGGCATGTTGGAAAGGGAGATATCCTGGGAGTTAAGTTTGACTTTAGGGACTGTAATTCCAACACAAGAAAGTCTATCTTCTTAACTAGAATACTTGTTCTTGTCCCAGGGGTATAGTGAATATGCTGCATGGTCAAATTGGTTTGTATAAGTGGAAACTGACAATATGTGAGAAGGCCATGCTGCAGACGTGATGTTTGGTGGCAACTGAGCTTCTAAATAAGAGCTAAGCAAGTGTCCCTGATTCTTCTGCCTTCATTTGGAAACATATCATCAGAAACGTCAAACTGGAGGAAATGTAAGAAATCATTTTGCCTTTCTAATTTTTGAGGGTTTTTTTTCTATTAAAGTAGATGAATATTTTTAAAAAGCTAACATTCACAGAGCCTTAATGATGTGCTAGATGTATTTCATTACTTAATTTTCACAACAATTGTCTCCGGTACGTTTTACTATTTACAGTTTATTGATGATAAAAGTGAGGTGCAATAATTTGCCCTAGATCACACGGCTAACAAGTGATCAATTGAAGTCTGAAGTCAGAACCAATGAAAAAGTTTCTGCTGATATCATTACATCACTCTGATTTCCCGGGTCTAATATTTCCATCTTCTCTGAGGGATTTGTTACTATGCTAATAGTTATTACTAAGTATTAGTGGGCTTAAGAAAAATTATCAATTAGGCAAAATCAGCTCTTGGTACCTTCCTAGCCATCATCTTAAACAAGACCTTTATGTATTTAGCTCATATGTCTTGGTCCAGTGTCTTTAAATATTTATTTCCATTATCTACCACTCGAATTTTCTCTGATCTGATGGTGTCACCTAGGTAGATCAATTAGTATTTGTAAATGTGAAAATGGGAAATAACCAGATGAGTATCTTTGGGAGACCATATGCACATTTTTTTTTCTAAGACAGTGTTAGTATTGGTGTCTAATTCTTCGAGGTGAGATTTTTCAGCCAGTCCATAGAAAGTAGTTTGGCATCAGGTCTGCTAATGAGGTAGAGAGGAGCACATCTGCAAAAATAGATTATTAATGCTCAAAAGTTCTCTGTTATCTGTTTTACAACTCCTGACAGGTTAACAAAATCCATGCAGGAAATTAAAATGGTATATTAGGAGATTTAAAGGAGGTCTGAGTTCTGCAGGACCAAGCAGGTTTTTATTATTAAATTATGCATAGAGAAGTTTAAGAATGTTTGTGAAAAGGTTTTCATTATTTTTCAGCATGAAGATTTGAAAAAAAAATGCAAAATGTAATAGCAGAAATATCAAAGTTTGAATAAGACAGTTATGATCATTTCAATTGTATGTTGAAATCAACCAGCAATCTCTAAACCTACAGCATTTCATGTATTTCATTGTGTAGGAGAGCTTCAAATGGCTGGAGAGTTTTACAATACCCTTAGCCAATACCCTTACCTTATGAAATGGAAACATGGAAAAGTTTTTGTTGCATTCTAAAGGTCTGAAGATTATTGCATGTCAAAGGAAAATTCCCTTCTGAGCTCTATGTGTTTAATGTTGCTGAATGAGAAAAAAATGAAAGATTTGACCAGTTTATTACAAAGCTTGAGATACAATTAGTCTACCAGTGAATAAAAACATGAAAACTTAGGAAATGAAGTAGAAAATCATCAATTTCAAACACATGTTAGCTTTCACAATTTCAAAGTAAAAAACCATACACTTATACATATAAATATACATGTGCACAGAGTTTTCTATCATCTAGTGCCAAATTAAGTTACATAATAGAGGGGAGGAGAGTCAAATAGCTATAAGGCAGGACAGTGAAGGTAAATTGCTTTATTGCTAAGAAAAAGTACTATTTCTGATTCTCCATACTCAGAGAATGGAGAAGAAAATTTTGTTAATAAATGCTTATTAAATTCCAGAACCTGCATTGATCTGCTCCAGTAAAAGGATTATATTTCATAGAGTTACTGTGATTGGAGCTACCGTTATGTTTATAGTACCCTCATCTGCCATTGTTCATCTGATATTTGTGAAGGCCTAGATGAATTGACAGAGAAATGATGCATCACCACTACATCCTTCAATTCTTTGATGGTAGTAGACATCCCTGCAATTCTTTGTGAGATATGGTGATATGGTATTTCTTCTGATTTACCTACTTTGGATTATTTACCTTGGCCAGGAGACACAAATTTCAGGAACTTTCTACTATATCTCCCATTCCAGCCAATGTGACCTGAGATATATATATATATATATATATATATATACACACACACATACACACACACACACACACACACACACACACACACATATATATATGCATCAATTGCACATTTATAACCTGAGGAAAGAACCAGAGTGAGTTCAAGGACCTATGAACGCACTATCAGATTATCCTGGGCTATAACTGCATTGATTACTTGGCCTCTATAAGCCCTATTTAGAATTAGAGGACTAAGATTGTATTTTGCATTGCCTTGGAAAGCCTAGGTATTACTCGTTCCTCTGTGGCCTTTACCCTGGCAAAATAGCTTAGGGTTTCTTTGGAGCAAACAAGAAACATAATTATTATATATTCCTCTGGTTGTATTGCAGGGTAATTCTTCAAAGAGATCTTATCTCCCATTCAAACAGTGTTGACAAATGTAGATCTAGAAGCTGGATGAATATGGTGATTTTCCATTATGGTACCTGACATCAGTTTTCTGCTCACTGGGTCTTAATTTCTTTTTTTATTGCACCAAACAATTTAGAACTTAGCTGTTCTTATATCTCAACTGTATAGACATTATGATTTATGTCAAGCACCTAAGTACCTCTCTGGTCTTGATGCCATATTAATTACATCTACCTTGCCTCTGATGGTTAGGTATTTCCAACAATCTTCTGCCAGTAGGTTAGAGGACAGTAACCAGTGAGCTTCTCAAAAATTCCAGTTCCCCATAACAACAAAACATTGATCCCTGAGCTTGATTCAGAGATAGACACATAGACGAGAGAGGTAAGAAATAGACTCATATTGGGGAATTTGGTGTAAAACAGTAGTGACCTTACTGGCCAGTGGGGAATCAGTGAGGAAAAGTGTAATAAACAGGGCTTATAAAATAAATAACCAAATAAAATTTGGCTTTCATTAAGGAAAACATAATTATATTTCTAGGTTATATCCATATCTCACACCATACAAAAATAAATTCCGGATGGAAATATCTTAAATATGGAGAACAATACTAAAAATGTTTTACAAGAACACATAGGATAATTTCGGGGTAGAAAAAGACTTTTTAAATAAGAATACAAGAACTAAAGGTACCACCTCTAACAGAAATACTGATAAATTTGACAATTCTAACATTAAAACTGTAATCTGAAAGGCAAGTCACAGATTTGGAAGAAAGTATTTACAATCTTTCAGCACAAGATTCATTCCTAGAGTATTCAAAGGCCACCTACCAGTAAGTAAAGATAAAATCTAGTGTGAAATAGGCCAGGCGTGGTGGCTCATGCCTGTAATCCCAGCACGTTGGGAGGCCAAGGTGGGCAGATCATGTGGTCAAGAGATCGAGACCATCCTGGCTAACATGATGAAACCCCATTTCTACTAAAAATACAAAAATTAGCTGGGCATGGTGGCGGGCACCTGTAGTCACAGCTTCTTGGGAGGCTGAGGCAGGAGAATCACTTGAACCTGGGTGGCGGAGGTTGCAGTGAGCCGAGATTGCACCACTGCACTCCAGCCTAGGGACAGAGTGAGACTGTCTCAAAGAAAAAAAAAAAAAATCTAGTGTGAAACAAATAATATGAATAGTCAATTCACAAAAGAAGTTATCCAAATGGCAAATAATAAAAATTAATGTCACAATAATTTAATATTTTATACATATCAGACTTCTAGAACTTTAAATATCTTATACCTTCAAGCATTGCAGAGGGTGAGGAGTAACAACAGTTTTATGCACTGCTATTGGTAAAATTCCTAGTAATATCTAAGAAAGCTGAATGTGTTCACATCCTATGTTGCAGCATTCCATTTCTAGGATGATTATAATGGGATTCACACGGAAAATGTCTTCCTCCCTAGCTTGTCATGATATTTAAAAGTCCTACAGATACATGACTTTAGATTAAGTTAGTGTTTATAAAAGGTTGTGATTGAAGTGCAAACAACTTTCATTGGAAGAATAAATTATTAACCAACAACATGGATTATTTTATGAACATAGCTTTCATCTCCTAGAGAACGGTACTATGGGAGTGACATGTGGGGGAAGGCCCACAAGAAACATCTTAAAAGTTAAAATTAACATTGCCTGATGGCAGTAGACACATTGTCATCTTTCTTCCTTGTCCAATTTTGATTCAGCTGTATCTTCTTCGGCCTCTACTGAGGTCTATAGGCTCCCAGGTTCAGTGAGGTCTTCAGTTGTGTAGAAGCACCAGCAGAGAATACTAGTGAGGGGGTTTCCCCCATGAGTTCAAGAAACACTTGGAGATCTGCATGGGAGCATGGACATAAGGATTATAAAGTGAACAATTATAGAAAGTATCTTGATCTGTAAACATTATGGATGAGGGTTATAGGTAACATTGACTGTCATGAATATTACTGGTCTTCCTGACTTCCAAAGGAAAAAAGTAATTAAGTCATTCCAGCCCTGAGCTTGGGAGACTATGAGGAAAAGGGAGGCTTCCTCAAAGTCGATCATCCATCAGAGGACCAGAAGGGACACTGCTGAGCTCTTAGCCATTTTAGGGAATGCTGCCTCTTAAAGAAATCCAACAACCATGAGTCCCAGCAAGCAGTCAAAAACAAAAACACAAAGCATCCAAAATCATCATCATCATCATCATCATCATCATCTTAGAGGGTCCAAAAGCCTGAGAAAAGTTATGTGATAAATAGACCACATGCCCAGTGAATTACGACTACTGAAATAGGCAGATAACATAAACAGGAAAACAGTAATCACACCTGAAGAAATTAAAATTGAATTAGAACTACCGAAATAGATGACAACATAAACAGAAAAACAATAATCACATCTGAAGAAATTAAAATAGAGCCACATAACAAAATGTGACCTAACTGCAGTACATGAGCCAAAAACATAAATTCATAACTAAATAAATCAATGGATAGACTTTATACTGCCAGCAATAATGTAGTAACTGGGCCTAACTTACCCTCCCACAGTAAATAAAACAGAAAATTGAACAAGTATATGGAAAAACAGTTTTATGACAGTGGGCAACAGGCAGTGAAGGTTATAGTGATCCCAGGAGAAGGCACACAAAAGAGGTGAGCCCT